CTCACACTCTCCTCCGGGAATTTTGTGGGGACGTAGAATAGGTTGATGTGAGCATAAAAATCCTATACCGTTTTGCGAAATTCGCAATAATAGTCGAGATATTAATTAAAAAGGATTAAGGAAAAACGCACGCTGAATGGTAGAGGACGGACCGCTCGAGTCACAGCGCGGCCCAGTAATAAAGCTCGCGGATGTCGCGCGCGGTGATTGGAAGACCATGGTTACGTTCCGAAATTCACTGAAAGTACTGAAATTCTATAGTATACGTAACATGAACTATAGATTTTCAGTACTGGCAGTGAATTTCGGAACGCAGCCAATGCACCATTGCCTATACTTATACCGCTACGCTCCTACGTCTTGCCGCACCGTGCCGAGATAAGAATAGGCAGTGGTGCATTGTCTTCCAATCACCGCGCGCGATATCCGCGAGCTTTATTACTGGACCGCGCTGTGACTCGAGCGATCCGTCCTCTACCATTCAGCGTGCGTTTTTCCTTAATCCTTTTTAATTAATATCTCGACTATTATTGCGAATTTCGCAAAACGGTATAGGATTTTTATGCTCACATCAACCTATTCTACGTCCCCACAAAATTCCCGGAGGAGAGTGTGAGACACCCTGTATATTGAAAATATAGATACTCTACAAATGGAAAATCCTAAAGAACATTACTGTACCTTTTTTCTGAATCTAGAAGCTTAAGAATATCGGAAACTTTTGCAGAAAGATTTCTACACATATATGGTTAGGCTTTCTTAAATATAATAAAACCTTTTCCTGAATGATATACAGGGTGAGACACCCTGTATATAAGCTGTGGAACTTCTGGATTAAGTAGGTCCTGTTAAAGAGATGCTGAAGCTAAAAACTTTATTGACAGAATATTGATACTTTTCTGCAAAGTTTACGTCATATTGGTTGTACAGAATTATAAATTGCTTTACGCAATGAAAGTACTTGTAAAAATAAATAGGAGCATTGCTCAATATATGACGAAAGCGAACAAAAATTTTAAATGTAAAGTCTTAAGTTGTCAACGTAATATTTGCTTAATTCAAAAGTTCTGCAGGTCCTACATACCGAAAGTGTGGATGCTCCACAAATAGAAAAATTTTGAAGAACATTACTGTACCTTCTCTTCTGAATTCAGAAGCTTAAGAATATTGGGAGTTTGCAGAAAGATTTTTACACATGATTATATAACCATGTTATATAACATCTTTATACATCTTACACATCTTTACACATGTTTAAAAACATATTTTCCGCCGAATATAGTAAAACAAAGTAACACACATTCACGTAAGATTTACATATACAAGAAATACGAAAAAAAATAGCATGATTGTGTTGGTGACGATTGTCTCTGTGTTATCGACATTTTTCGAGTTCGTCATTGACTTCAGCATCCCTTTAAGCCATAAGCCTTAAGAAATCAAATATGAGGAGAATAATCGACTGTGATCAATTTCTTATGACTTAAGATTTAAGTCATTTATTGTAGACCGGAACTCACGCGTAATTAATGAGGAAGTAATAAAATGCAATCTAATGTAAGCTTACTATATTTTGAAATAATCAGCTTACATTAAATTGAATTGTATAACTTTTACTACCGTACTTTTGCTATCATATTACTCACTCGTAACACATGAGCGAATAAACTTTCTTACTGACGTAAACGAAACATCAAACTGTCAAATATTATAGCTGCTTTGATATATGAATAATATCTGACTTGATATTATTCGACTTCTTCGAATAATCAACAGTCACGATATATGACTATGTAGAAACGAATTCATTTGATTAAAAATTTTTAGTAATTTCTGATTTAAAAAATAACCAAGCATACCTGAACTTCGATGTACATATTAGTGTCACGAAACTACTATGTCACTTAACTTTGTTATTAATAGGATACTTACATTGAAGCGCAAAGAACCATACCATGTGATGAGATTCCTCTTAAATTTGCTGGCTTTAGATTAGCAAGAACCACTACCATTCTATTCTCCATCTCATTCAAAGGTACATAATTAACTAAGCCGCTGACTATAGTACGTGGACCACTCGATTCTCCCAAATCTATCTTCTCTACATAAAGTGAGTTCGCATCGGGATGCTTTTTCACTTCGATTATTTTGCCCACTCGAATATCTAGTCTTATAGGAGTAATTTCCATTTCTGTAGTTTCTAAATAATATCAAGTTACAATTACTGAATTATGAAATATAGCGCATACATATCTTAATAAATTGTAATAAATACTATCGATTTTGTTATTAACCTGGGAGTGGGCGCGTTAACAGGACCAACGTTAGTGAGCGCGTATCGGTCGCATTTTGACCGAAATATATTTAAGCACATATATGTGTAATAATTAAATAAAAATTAATAAATTACCAATCCAATTATTAAAAGAAATATAATAATTAAGGAAACAATTTTATGATGCCCTTATAGAAATATCATACTAAGAATCATTAATAATTACTTATTATCCAGTATTTTTAATACTGAAAATAAGTAATTATCAATGATTCTTAGTATGATATTTCTATAAGGGTGTCAATAATGTTATGATTTCTTCTTTTTCCCATCTTTTTTTACCATTTCTATATCTAATATGTTTAGAAAATATATTAAACTTATTATACATATGTAAATAAATTAAAAATAAAATCATAATATTTTTAACTGCATTATTAAAAAGTGACAATTTTTTAGTTTAATAAAATAAAATAAGAATTTCTTGCTTCTCTTATTTTATTTTGATTAACTTAAACTGATTTAATAAGCTTAAAAATGTATTTGATAAATTTAGAAATAAAGAATAAATCTTCTTGATTTAATGGCAATATTAAAATTATCACATTATGTATTGTTTCAATAATTCAAGTATTAATTTTAATAATATCGCTATTGAATCAAGAATATATACTCCAATTACGCGTGCTGTTAAAATTTTATTGATTCAACAAAAAAAGAGAACTATCCGTCCAATTACGATGTCGGAAAGACAATAGACGTTCGGCGGCACATCGAGCGACGCTGACGTGGCAGAGATAAAAGACTAACGTTATTAGGCGCGCTATGGTCTTTTAGACCAATTGCTAAAAACATATCAAATTTCACATAGAAATAAGCGGGTCTATGCCGTCTACTTCTCCATGCTATACGAGAAAACATCAAAGAAAATTTAAAGTAAAAGCGAAAATACAATAATATCAATAAATTAGATGATATAAGTAGAAAACGAAAAAATATGGAGAAATGACCGATACGCGTCCACTCCCGGGTTAATAAGTAACTCTTCTAGTTTCCCCCATCTGGATTGAAGTATCTGGAATCATCTGGACTTTGTGAAATAGATGTATTTTTGTATCACATATCAAGTCAGATATGTTGCAAAATTTTGAGAATATTATACAAGATGTTCCAGAATAATCTTCTCTTGTGAAGGCATAGAGTACTGATTAAGATAAATATAAAAATTCACCGTTTTTTTATATTCGCAATAACTATCGTGATATTAATTAAAAAAGATTTATGAATAATCACGCGAGATATAGTAGTTGAACCGTAGTAACAACGTCTGCCATCCCGTACTTGTATATTAGGTCAAATTGAACAAAGAACGTTCTACTATTTTTCTAATAACTTTGTAGATTTTTACTTATTGATTAAATTAATAATTTCTAATTATTAATTAAAGAAGAATGGTAAATGGTCGTTTGCGATAATATATTAATATTAATTAATAACTAAAAATCTACAAAGTTATTAGGAAAAAGATATAAGACTTTCTTGTTTAGTTTGACTTGTAATATACAAATACACGACAGTAGATATCGTCATTACAACTTATCTACCATATCTCGCATGATCATTCACAAATCTTTTTTAATTAATATTTCAATAATTATTGCAAATTTGTAAAATGGTATAGGAGTCTTATGTTCATCTTAATCCGTACTATGTTTCCATGAGAGTTTTGAAAGTTATTCTGGAACATTCTATATATAATGTAAAAGTCAAAGTCAGATGTAAAAAGTCAAGGAGAATCTTGGAGTATCTCAAAGAATATAAATTTTATTAAAAATGTTTCAGATAAAAGTTATAAGGTTTAAAAAGATCTATTTACTTATCTTATCAGTTTAACCTTGAATGACGTCTCCAAAAAGGCAAAGTCATCTTGAATTTTTTAAATGGAACACTATATTTTTTATTACCTATTCTTGTAGCGAACGTCGAGATATCTTCAAAATATTATAATAAAGCTTTTTTTTCCTTAAAAATTTTTTGTCATATTTTTTAACATAAAATATTTCATAAAGAAAGTTTTCGCTTTTCGATAACTTTATCTAAATACTTTTATTCGTAGAATAATGAAAAAAATCGATTAATTATATTCTTTTTTACATATAAAATTTTATTACGAAATTCACCAAGGTATCTACAAAATGCAATAAAATTGTTTAAAAATAATTCTGCTTTCTAACACCAATGATTCCCTTTATTATTCAATATGTAAAAATATCAAGCTAAAGTCATCATGACAAAAAATTAATACGTAAGGAAATTAATACGTAAACAAACGTAATTTAATACGTTATAAAAAGAAGTTTTATTATAGTGTTTCGAAAACGTTTCAATATCAGTTATAAGAATATATAATAAAAAATACGAGATTCCATATAAAAAAAAGTTTAAGATGTCCTTGCCCTGACTTTAACGATGCTACTTAAGGTCAAACTGATAAGTTCAGTAAATAGGTCTTTTTATTAACCCTACAATTTTGTATTAAAGCTCCTAACTAGTCACCGCGGCCATATTGATTGATGTCGTCAGAAGCGAGAAATTACACACCTAATTTGCGTCCGAATTATTGCTAAATAAAAAGATATATTAACAAAATGACACTTGCAATCGATCCTACACACTCGTAAAATACTTCGGACAGTGTTCTTTTCCCGAAATAACCTTTACAACACTGCAAAATATATATGTGGAAATCGGCTTATTTTGACAGGAGATCAGCTATGAGACTCGGTACGAAATATGATAGAATAAGTACTATTATACTTAAAATATTCCAAAAAGCATAGTATCCGGACAATTTTCACATTTCCGCAATTATGTTATGTGTGAGTACTACAGTCAGTAATAACGCCGTGATTCGGACGGAAAAATTAGGTGGCTGTTTACACACATATACGTACATACACATATATACATACATAATTCGCTTTATATATACAATGAACGAAGTTCTTATTCCTACCACTGATGGCTGTGTCGCCACTGTCAGCGCGAATTTCTCGCCTGACTAGCCAGAAGCCTTAAACATTTTTTATAAAACTTATATTCTTCGAGATATTCCAGGGTCCTGGCATTTTTTATACATTCTGTATATAATATTCTCAAAATTTTTCAGCTGACTTGATATAAATAATGCAGAGACGTGTATAAATTATTTCATAAAATCTCATTTCAATCCAAATGAGAGAAAGTAACTCACCCATACAGCACAAAGTTGAAACAACGTTGCGAAAATATTGCAATGTTGAATGTTGAAATGTAAACATCTTCGTAATGTTGAATATATATTGATTTTTCTATATTGAATAACATTGAACAAATTAGTATTTATTGTCAAATAAAGATATCATACAGAATCGAAAGCGGATGCCATCGCGGCGTCTGCAAGACAAGCGAGACTGAGCAACTCAACCCCCGGGTTGCCAGTACTTCAGGCGCAAAGCTTCTTATAAGAAGTTATTTCTGTTACCCAGTGAGCAAACAATATTTTAAAAAACACTGAAAAAACATTTGAAAATATATTTTTAAAACAATGGGATATATTTTTAAAACAATGGAAAATATATTTTTAAAAATAATGGGATAAGTTCACTTTTTTTATTAAAATAACGTTTTTAAAAACGTCTGGAAAAATATTTTGTTTTATAATATTTAATGAACATTCATTTTCTAAATGTTAAAATAAACGTTTATTAAATATTAAAAATCAAAACATTTTCCAAACGTTAAAAAAATGTCTTTTTAATGTCTTTTTTAAAAAACAGAACTTACCCCATTATTTTTAACGTTCTAAAAATGTTTCTTCAAATGTTTTTTTAAATTGTAATGTTTTGTAATGTCAACACCTAGGTAAACATATTTTACATAAATATTTTATGCATGTATCTCTGACTTCTCTTTTATTATATGAAATATTTGAACTATAGTTTGTTTTTGTGATTGTACTAAATAATATAAGAAAATTGTAATTAGTGCTTCAGCTGCATATGGGAATAATAAAAGACACTTAGTATCAGTTGAAGAAATAGCACAGTAGCCAAGATGGTAGACTAGGAACCGGGAGATGTCTGAGGTCTCGAGTTTGCGTCCGACCAATACTAAGTAAATTTTTAGGTGCGAAAGTAATGAGAAATCAAAAAGCTAAATTTCATTTAAAATCAACATAAGCTGATTAGTTGCAATCGTTTCTGCAAGATATATTTTTTTAACCAGTGTCACACGTCATTGTTACGTTATTTTATGTAAAAAATTAAGACGTAGTATATATGACGTCTCTGGTTTGTGACTTAGAACCGTCAAAAAGACGTCATTATTTGGTTAATTTGAAAGATAAATAACGTAGCAGATGACGTAAAATTCACGTCATTATCACGGCCGTCTTGGCTACTTGGGATGTTTTTCGAATATTGAATTGCGTCTTATAAACATCTACAAGATATTGCAATTCAGCGGATATTAGACGTTTCTACAACGTTTCTTCAACGTTGAATTTATATTTTGCTATGTTGATATAACATCTCAATGTTGAAATTAAACGTTTATAAAATATAGATTCAACGTTTCTGTGCTATACGGGTCATACATCATAGAAAATTGAAACAACGTTGCTGAGATATTATGTTGAATGTTGAATGTTGAAATGTAAATATCTTTCCAATGTTGAATCTATATTGCTTTTCCTACATTGATTCTTCATGTTGTTATAACATTAAAACAACATTGAACAAATTACTATCTTTTGAAATTCAGATAGAAATACTGAAAAGAAGTTTTATATATCCTTTTAAATTACGCATTGAAATTTTCCGAAATATTATACATTATATCCTGATATTTTTCAGTACAAACTATGGAATATCTTATTAACTATTATATTAAACTATTATGTTAACTATTCAACATTACTTTAATATCTTTAACATTATTTTAATTACTTTATACGTTGAATAATGAAAAAAATCGATCGGTACTCTTAATCTTTACATGCTGTTTCAATAAATCTGCAAAATCCAATCTTAGTATGGAAAACTATCAACAGTTGTAACACTGTTCTAACGCTGAACGCGGCCAATGTTAAATCAATATTTAACAATATTAAATTGCAACGTCTACAGAACATTGCAATTTAGCGGACATTAGACGTTTCTACAATATTTTTTCAACGTTGAATCTACATTTCAAAATGTTGATGCAACATTGCAATGTCGCAACGCAACGTTTCTGAAATATTGATTCAACGTTTGCGTGCTGTATGGGTAAGAAAGTTACTTATATTCAGAGTGTTACTTAGTTTAATAAATTACTTTGCTTTTGTAGTGGAGGATAAGCTTTATTTGCCAGGGTCTTCAATTTCGAATTTGTCTCAAATTCCTTGCGGATTGGATCCAGAAGTTTATTAATGTATATCTCTACAGCGTTTTTCAAGTCACCAGGGTGTATGTCCTGCTTCGCAAAAGCAATCTCCAAGTCTTCATATTTCGTAAAGAACACTTCACCACCTAATATACAAAATTTATGATTTTTATTTTTCCTTTCTAAATTTTCTTTAAATTGTTATTACGGTATAAATTGGCCATAAATTGGATAAAATAACATAAATACATGCCGAATTCTGCAGTTCTTGGTACAATAAAAACTTCGTCATTTTTTAACAGTGGAAATATAACATGTTTTGAGAACGCTAATACACCGTTATCCGTGATATTTCCTGGCTCGCAAAATGCCTTTTTTAATTTTTTTTTTACTGCTGCAGCATTGTCCAACAAATCAATCTTCGAGTCTTCCTCAGATGAGGACATTTTTGCTCCTGCTAAGCCTGGAACTAGATAAACAATTCAAAAAGTTATGGAAACAGAAATTGTGTCATATGTGAGCAAAAAGATATGGTAATACTTTTGTTCGTTTTATTGTTTGATACTGACTCATTGGATTCATTAGATGAATACGTTTGTCGTATCCCAACATGGGCAGGTATTTCTCCGCAAAAGTAAAGATTTTTCGTTGATCAACACCACCAAATTGAGCGTCTATCTGTAAATGTTGCTCATCGAGGGCCTGTAATCCTGGATAAAGAAGGCCGGAAAGCAAAGGATTTACAACTTGTTTGACAACTTCAGCTCCTGCTTTCTTCGCGTCGTGCTCTGTCACTATCGAGCTTAGGCGATATATATCTAATGTGTATTCCCTTAAAAGAAGAAAAAAAACATTTATGTAGCTTTTGGAAACAGAATGACTTCATGTTATATAAATTTTCAGAGTTGGAAAGTAAAAAAAATGCATTACTTATAATGCCATTACTGTTACAAGTTATTTTTTTTAGTAATAGTGACATAACTACATTATTTAGATAATGATCACAAATATAATATTTACTTTAACCAGTACTTTACATATATACAGTGAGTGTAAAAAGTACTCGTACACCAGACCTTTCTCAAGACAATCTTTGGTGTACAAATACTTTTTATTCTTACTGTAGAATATGTGTACATAGGATAAGCAACAGTGAATTCTAAAAAAAAGGGTTTTCAAACTAAATGAAAATATAATGGAATTTGTAAAAACTCATTACTTTTTATATAATAATGACAGTAACAAGTTGTTTTCTTTTAATTGAATAATAATAAAAATGTCCAATTACTTTTTTCAATAATAACAGTAATAAGTAAGTAATAAGTAACAGTAATGAGTTATTTTAAACTTTGCTAATCTTAATAATATAATATATCACACCACAATAAAATATATACCTGATTTTTGCTAATAATGTTAACGCAATAATGTTATAAAAGATGTCATAATACAAGTTCTAATATAGCATCAACTTACTTAGTTAATTGATAGTCTGTTCCTTTGACAAATTTTAAATTGTCTAGTGAAACATCAATAGATTTTAGCATTGCTTTAATTACAACTTCATAATATTGAGTACGAAGTTCTAATAGCTCCCATGGTGCTTTCATGTTGTCCAAATATGCATGGAGGTCAGCAAAGAGAATTGTTACTTCCGCTCCTCCTCGCAAGAAATCAGCTATTTTAGACATGGGTGCAAAATAGCCAATATGCGGTTTCCCAGTTGTAGCTGTACCCCAATAAAGTTTTAGATTACGCTGTTTTAGGATACTCTTAAGTTTTTCATCTCCCAGCCATTCTGCCAAATTTCTGGTAATGAGCTTGTACTTTTCATTCCATGTTAGAGCCATTATTTTCTTTGTATATATCCTTTGTACTTATTTGTAAATTTTTTGTAAATTATTCTTTGTATTTCTCTGTGGTCAAATTAATACAATATATAATAACAATTCTGTTAATTATAGTGTCATCTTAAAGTTTGTATTAAAACAATAAATAATAAACATATAAATAAAAAAAAACAAATATGTTACTTTATATAATATATATTATAGTTGTATGTAATTGCATAACTTGAAAAGTTCTACATTATACATATATATGTGTGTGTGTGTGTGTGTAAAGTTAGCGTACATATGCATAACTAAAATAGTACAGAATATTTCACTCAATAATTTTACTAAATCTGATTAAAAATATCACTTTGTTTTTAAATGAATGTTTTTAAATGATATTTTTATATAAAGAAGTAACATATTAAAAACATTTTAGTAATTATGAAGAAAAGGACCTCATAAATTTCGGTAAAATTTGGTTAGATAATGTATTTTGACGCATAGAAACCGAATCTGAAAGTCAAAACCGTCGCTCTACACGGTGAAGCGACATATTCATTGTTAAAGTTGCACATTATTAGGTTAGGAAACTGTCATATATCAGGTGCGTTCGGGGAGCTCATTATTAAGCTGGCCACATACACTTTCCGTAAAGCCCATTCTACAATTGCGTGGACGTGGATGTAAGTGGTTATAAGTGATTACGACAACCAATCAGAGTAAAGCCCATTCTACAATTGCGTAAGCGTAGTCGTGAACGTAAAAGTCAACCAATCCGAATGTTTTATTCACTGATTGCTTTACTCTGATTGGTTGTAATCACTTACAACCACTTACATCCACGTTCACGCAATTGTAGAATGGGCTTAATGGCTCCTGCACACAGGACGCGGTAATGCTTGCCGCGCGGCGGAAGTTCGCGCAACAGCCAATCAATATGCTGCTTTCCATAGTAACCTTCTAGCTCTTACGGAAAAACAACATATTGATTGGCTGTCACGCGGACTTCCGCCGCACGGCAAGCATTACCGCGTCCTGTGTGCAGAAGCCATAACTCATTGGCCCTTTCACCATGTGCTATCATGTCAGAGAGAATCTAATAACATCTTCGACTGGCTCTGGGTTAACCTAGAGATCCTTTAATAAGAGATCGGACACCGTCGACTACAAATACTAGATTCACCATGTTTGGGTCCAAACCGGAAGTATATTTATCTCACTTTAACTTATTGCACCAGTTCAGCTAGTACAGTTGCAGACCACTGCTTGTGTTGTCATTCAGCTAATGATCCTAACCGGAAACGTATCCCAAACGCAGCCAATACGTTGACATATGGTGTCCGATCTCTTAATACAGGATCTCTAGATTAACCCACTCTGGGTTATTCAGCCTACATTTATTGGTTGAACAAGTACTTATAAGCTTTATGATTGTCTAGTAGAGACTTATGACGTCATCAATCGCTCTCGGAGCGATTAACCCAGGGCCAGTCAAACACGCTATAAGCGTTTTTCGTTTCGTGACCACGATACCATTTGGTTGGTTGGTTTGGTCTACTTAACACCTCGAGCAACAAAGATAGGTTGCGTTCCGTTTCACGCATTATGCACGCATTGCTTACAATATACGTAACATGAACTATAGATAAATGCGCGCATATGCGTGAAACGGAACGCAACCATAGAATAGCCTGGTTTACATCGTGCACTTGATACGCGTACTAAATAGTAACTTTCTATTAGATAATCTTAATATCGACAATGCATATCAATAGCGACGCATTCTACCAATACAATACATTTTGTTGATGAGTATTATAGCTTAATATATCGTTGTTTATATATATCATCGATATTAAGATTATCTAATAGAAAGTTACTATTTAGTACGCGTATCAAGTACACGATATAAACCAAGCCAATGACGCTCGTGGCGTTGCGAGCGTTAAGTGGACCAAACTAACCAACCAAATGCTACTGTGGTTACGAAACAAAAAAACGCCTCTAGACAGAGCGGTCTCTCTCTCTCTATCTATCTATCTATCTATCTCTCCCTTTCCCTCTCTCTCTCTTTCTCACTGGTTACCGGAACCCTTTCGGGTTAGTTCCCAAACACCATTTTCCGAAACTAGACAGAGTGGTAGGGATACTGATTTCTGATTCGATGCATCGAGAATCGATTCTTTTTAACGATGTATCGATTATTTTCTACGATTCTTTAAATGGCCGATTAATCAAAAATCGATTCTTTTCTGTACTAAATCGAGAATCGATTATTCATAGAGTCCTCTCGGACGTTGTGTCGTGATCACAGACTTCTATATACTATTGGACTGTTAATTCCCTTATATAGTGCTTTACAAAATTGACCCTGAAAAATATGAATTAAGTGAGGAGCACACACTCTTGCACAAAGGTATAATGCACAACGCATAAGAAAATTGACCAGAGTTCTCATTTCTAATGCCATAATGAAAATGAAGGACTCTGATCGGTCTATTTTCTCATGCGTTGTGCATTATGTCTTTATGGAAGAGTATGTGCTCCCCACTTTACGCAAGCTTTAGGAAGACTTGTCCCCAAAGCTTGTATTTTTTTGCAGGGCAGTGGCACAGAATATGCACACTGCCTTCTCCTCAGTAACCATACAATCGGTACGCATCATCTTCTACGATTCTCAATTTAAATAAATGGGTTTTTAAGATCGTATGTCAAAAATCCAATTACAGCCTCAACCTCATCTTGCCCATTGATAACAGCTAACTAAATGTTTAAATTTATTAAAATTGTGATTGTACTTATAAAAACAAACAAAAAAGCAATAAAGACATTTAAAAAAATAATCGATGCATCCAGAATCGATTCCTATTTGACGATGCATCGATTTTCTGAATTGTTAATGGAAAAAGAATTGATTCTAAAGAATCGATTGTTTTACGAGAAAATCGACATCCCTAGAGTGGAGAATATTCGCCGAAAGTCCGCTATTAGTTTTGGTGACATGCAAGAAATGTAACCTCCATAAACTTCAAATCCCGGTTACTATACACAAATACACCTGTTTAAACTGTATTATTATAAAATATAGTTAAAAATAAACTATTTACTCTTGTACATTGCTGGAATTATTCACTCACAATAATATTTCAACAATATTTTGCGAATATAATGTTATAGTGCTACGAATTGATATTGGCAAAATTAAAGTGTTAGTAACACAATAACAGAAAACGTATTTTTATTTTAACTTTTATCTACCCTTATAGAAATATCATACTAAGAATCATTGATAATTACTTATTTTCAGTATTAAAAATACTGGATAATAAGTAATTATCAATGATTCTTAGTATGATATTTCTATAAGGGTAGTTATAAATTTATGAAGTGTGCAGTTATTTACCCAAGAAAAAAAGTTCATATAAAAGCCACTCGGGAAAAAATGAAGTGATTGCATTAGATATGTACATCACATTAAAGCAAATTGGATCTGATAATATTTACTGTTAGATATAAATATAAATATATCATCAAAGATCTATCTTTTTACTTGCATAAGAAATGTTATATCCGCTAAGATCTTTGTAGATTATCAATGATCTG